ATATTCAATAAAACCAAACTAAGTTAGTATGTTTAAATAGGCAGGTATACATACTTGCAATACCATTCAAAGGAGATATCCTCCCATTTATAGTATATTATACATACAAATAACTTCTTTAATGCATCACTGATACAGTTTAAACAATAACATCCATTCTGTTTCCAATCAATCACAAACACAAAGTAGCTTTTAGAGTAGCTCCTAAAGAAATATACCTTTTAGGCCGATTTATAAAAAGTTAAAAATCCATAGACGATACTTAAGCACAAATGAGCATTTGAAACACGCCATCTTAACAATAGATCTGGTACCGGAATGTAAGTACTACTTATGTATACTATTTTATACTAATTTCACCTTTAGATTCATTAAATAAATTAAAAATGTGACGAACCCCCTTTTTTAACCAACATAAGTAATATTGGCACCCTTTGTACCATACCTGATGTAAGGTTTGTATAAATTGGTAGAATTACCATATGTAATTTTTTCGGCATTCTAAAGATTGTCCTTTACCGGTGACTAAATGATGACCACAAAAACTGTAGTGGCCGAAACCGGTCGTCGCTTACTAAATAAATAGATTGTGAGTAAGTAATTTTTCCTCTTCGTATAAAACTACCTATAATTAAAGATAATATTTTTTTTGCTAATTTTGCTTTTTTAATTGTATGAATTATTTATAACTAATCATATCTTGCCTGAAGCCCATATTCGTATTCCTAAAATCTACTGCTTATCCTAATCCAGACTAGTTTGAGTCCTTCTTATGCATACTTAGGGTGCGTTCATTATGGGGACCATCGCATCGTATCCTCGCCTAGATCGCATTGACAGTGAACGCTGGCATCTAAAATAAAATGCATTTATTTTACCTGGCGATGGATACGATGGTCGGAGCGAAGGTCGGTGGTCGGCTGCTCGTAGTCGATCGTAGAGTACTAGGGTCGAGGGTCGAAAAATACTAAGCTGGAATACTATGGTCGAAGTCTGTGGTCCGATACCTGGCTCGAGGCTGGGCGCTGCGCTTTAACAGTGAACGCTGGTATTTTTAAAATAATGCATTTATTTTAAATGGTGATGATAATATGATACCATCCTATGGTCCGGGCGAGAGTCGGCGCCTCGTTATGAGCGCACACTTGCCCAGAGAAGTCTCCAGTCTCTGTAATATAGTCTGATTTTGTTTGATGTTTGTTTTGTGTGCTTATAGCCACAATATTTATTATAAATCAAGGCTTTAGCATATAGCTCCTCACAATATTAACATTACCTATCGACGCAGACGCAATCACTTTAAAACTCACACAACTGACACTCACCATGTCAAACCATTAACATTGCGCACTAGCTTTCTTCTACTTTATCTATGATACTTTGCGTCTTTAACGGATGGCAACCCTAATTTGCGACCATTTTTCCCGGGCAAACTTATATCATCGTATTAAAAAAATTACTTTAATTTGATATAAAAACATGCATATACGTCATAAGCAGCCTATTTTATTTAAAAAATAAATTAACATTTTTGTTCAAAAATGAATTACCATTAATTTAATGTTTTTGCGGTCACTTTTTGACTGACATACCATTATCAATGTATTTCCTATTGTTAAATGTATGTAAAATTTTGAGTGATTAACGTTACGAACGTAGTGATTTTACAGTAGTATCTGAAACTAATTCAACACAAAAGAACGAATTGAAAAAATTATTAAATTGTTTAAACTAAATAAAATAAATTGAAATAAAAAACTTGACAGTGCAAACATCTAGCACATAAGACGAAAACAAAACGAGCTAATCGCAACAAAAAATTGTACAGGTTAGTCAAAAAATGAAAACGCACATTCAGTTTTACAGTTTTATCTTCATTGGAAGAATGCCATGGATTACTGCTGGAGCTTATTGTTTTGTAATTGATTGAAGAGACTAATTTAAAATAGATTAGCTCTTTTTAAAACGCTAAGAGATTTAAAAAACAGCAACTTTGGTTTACATTGTCGATTTGGTTAGAACTTAAATATTTTTATAGTAAAATCATGTAATAAATACAATATTATTTTAATATTATTTTAAATGACTACTTCGCTACATTCACTTTTTAAATAAAAACTCACCAAGGAAGAAAATAAATATATTGGTTTTATTCTCATTTATTAGCAAAACGACGTCGGTATTACTTGACAAAATCGTTATCCATTGCTCGCCAATCTCGTCAGAGAGTGCCTTACCAGATCAATCGGTGAACACCAAAAATTGGTAAAATCTAATTTTAATGACGAATGTTACGGTCAAAATACAGGCAATGAAATTTTCAAAATATTAATCGATTAAAAATCCATTTGCATATTGTGTCCTTTCATAATGGTTTTAAAAAAAATCCAGGACTAAGTATTTAGATTTTTGTTTTTAATGGAATTAATTTAGTAACAAATTTCACGTTAGAAAATCTGATATTTTTTCTGAGTGTTTTAAACATTTTTAAAAATATTTACGAAGTATTCTGTAGTATACAAGGGGAGTCATGAGGAACTTTACATACTTCTACCATATGTAGAGTCCCTCAGGGAGCATATCATGTGGTTCTTTATTAAATTAACACGGTGATTTGTGTAATTGACCATTTATTTCATTTTACTGTAGTTTTTATACGGCTCATTTGATTTTTTTTAATTTTTGCATGATACAGTACACTACTATCAAGCATTCGACTGGTATTAGCTAAACTAAAAAATTCCAGGACTGGCTTTGGAAAAATTAATTTAGGGATTCGTATTAAATATTACACCCTGTATATATATTTTTTTTAAAATGCAATAAGTGATTTTCAAACTACATAAATAGCCAATGAAAACGACATATGCAACAATGTTGTCGCACTTTTATTAAATTTTTAGTGAACGATCAAATCTTGCCAAAAATAGAACAACCATAATGAGGTATCAAATTATAAGGTATTAATTTAAACAAATGTTATAAATTTCAAACATTTTAATTAAAATGAGTTCCTACAACATAATCTAATCCGTAGAAAATTAACATCTTTACTGTCACTTTGTATTATGTCTACGATAGAATCAATTGTTTTTCAATTTTAAATTTTTACTCATAGATCGTATTGGGGCATTATTTTCGATAAATAATAAATTAAATTGATTAAAAAGTCAAACCTCTTGTATGTGTTAGTTTTTGTTGATTGTGAATGATTAAAATTTTATGTCAAATAATAATACATTGCATCAACTGTACTAAATAAAAATAAATCTAAAAAAGTTTAAAATGAAGGTTGGCGTTGACCGTTTGACGTTTCTTGATATTTTATACCCATTGTCATTATTGTCATTATCAATTTTTATTTATGTGTACAAGAATACATATTTCTTCTGTCATATCTACGTTAAGTACATTGTGTTACTTTTGGTAAAGCTTTTGTTACTTTCGTTCAAAATGCCACACCAGTTTTCGACCACAGAATATGCAGACATAATACTTGTTTATGGATTCTGTAATGGTAATAGTAGGGCTGCTAGTAGAGAATATCGCAGGAGATTTCCTAATCGTCGAACTCCCAGTCATCCAACATTTGGGTCAGTTTTTAATTATTTGCGAGAAAATGGCACTTTTCCTAGTGGAACAACAGAGCGACATGTAGATGAAGCGCAGGAAGATGACATTATGGACGCCGTTACTATGAACCCTACAATAAGCACTAGACAAGTAAGTCGAGAACTCAATGTTACTCAATCAAAAGTAATTAGAGTCTTACAAAAAAATAATCTATACCCATATCACATTCAAATGGTTCAGCGACTACATGCTGGAGATGATATCGATTAGTTGGAATTTTGTAGATGGATTAACAATAATCGACCAACGCTATACAGGACACTATTTACAGATGAAGCCCAATTTACCAGAGACGGGATAAATAATTCACGAAATTCACATGTGTGGGCAGAAGAAAATCCCCATGCTATTCTAGAACGTCGATCTCAGTTAAGGTTTTCGGTTAACGTGTGGATTAGTGTCATAAATAACCAATTAGTAGGTCCTCACTTTTTTGATGGTCCTTTAACAGGGCAGGTCTATTTGAACTTTCTACAAAATATTTTGCCGAATTTGCTTGCCAACGCGAACGTTGCTATCCGAGGGATGTATTTTCAGCATGATGGGGCACCCTCACACTTTTTACTGGCAGTGAGACATCTCAATAATGTTTATGGCAACAGGTGGATAGGACATGCAGGTCCTATTTCGTGGCCTTCAAGATCCCCTGATTTCAATCCCGTTGATTACCATATTTGGGGACGATTGAAGCTACTAGTTTACGCAATGAATATTAATAACCGACACAAATTAATTGATAGAATTATACATTGTTGTAATACTATTAGAAACGATCCCCAGAGTATCCGTAATTCAATACGTCAATTAACAATTCGGCAACAAAAATGTGTACAGGCTGCAGGGTTCCATTTCGAAAATCTATTTTGAATTATTTTTATTTTGTTACCATTATTGTATCTTTTCCAGTTCTAATTTATGGGTTTATCATAACTATGTACATATTTTTAGTTTTTTTTAGTTGTTCTTCGTTATTGTTAGCAGTTACTGTTTTTTGTTGTGCAGTGACTCAGTTTATCATTTCAATTAAAATGTTTGAAATTTATAACAGTTGTTTAAATTAATTACCTTATAATTTGATACTTTTCATTATGGTTGTTCTAGTTTTGGTAAGATTTGATCGTTCACTAAAAATTTAATAAAAGTGCGACAACATTGTCGCATATGTCGTTTTTATTGGCTATTTATGTAGTTTGAAAATCACTTATTACATTTTAAAAAATAAATATACAGGGTGTTTATACGAATCCCTAAATTAATTTTTCCAAAGCCAGTCCTGGAATTTTTTAGTTTAGCTAATACCAGTCGAATGCTTGATAGTAGTGTACTGTATCATGCAAAAATTAAAAAAATCAAATGAGCCGTATAAACACTACAGTAAAATGAAATAAATGGTCAATTACACAAATCACCCTGTTAATTAATAAAGAAGAGGAGTTGACATTTTTTACTGGCCACATGATATGCTTCCTGAGGGACTCTACATATGGTAGAAGTATGTAAAGTTCCTCATGACTCACCCTGTATACAGAGAATGTTTAAAGAATCTTTAACATATTTATACAATATTTGGAGTGGTTTAATAATACATTCGACCATTTTTCTATAATTAGTTTGAACATTATTCACTCTTATTCACTGGCGTCGATTTTAAACAGATCATGATATCTGCGTTTAAAAAATTATGATAATGATGATGAAAAGCAGACAAAAACGTTTTAAACTCAAACATGTCTGAATTTTATTTCCCAACAGAACCAAAATCGATTCGAATGGTTATTATTGGATCAAAGAGACAATACACATCACGTAGAATGAACTGACCAAAACAAAATTGTTATTAAACGATGCTTGTTAGAAATAGCTCAAAATTAACTTCTGCCATATTTTGATCATAACATTAAAAAATAAAATTGCAATTAAGAAAGATAAAAGGAAACAACTTGTAGTTTTTATTTATTGTTTTTTGAAAAGTTTATCAGTTCTTGCTAACAGTTCGTAATTCAGTGTCCACCGTTTGATCTCAAAGTATATGTTTTACATAATTTTATAAAGCAAGCACTTTTCTATATTACTGAATTTCACTTTTGTTTTAAATATCAATAAACTATGTTACGGTTACATGGTGGAATCACTATGTGATCTCGACCTGGTTCTAGCGCCAGAGCTTTCGAAAGAACTTGAACTAGAGTTGCTAGAATTGCTTGAGGAATTGCTAGATTGGGAATTGAATAGGCTGCGTAGGACGTTGTACGGAGTATTAGCTGAAAATAATAAAAAAAACTAATAAACGTTTACTGTAATTTAAAACAAAAACGTTAAATTAAAATTATTTTTATACATGTTTCATTTTAAAAGTTTTTAACATAGCAGAAAAAAACTGACTTTTTATTTTAGAAATCCATTTATTTATCAATATAGTTCCTCCTCTTTCTAATAATGATAATATCGTATGGCATTTTTGCCAGGAAGATCCTTTCAGACACACTCTTCACTTTCGGCTTACAAAGCCATCTTCAGGGCTATGGTCAAGTTTTAAAAGTCTCACTACTGGGAATTATCTCATTTGGTACAAAAATACATAAATTTTACTTTAAGCTGGTTCTATGTTAAAATATTTCATTGACAAAACACAAAAAAAGACTGTACACTAGACTCAACAAAAAACGCATAAAAAACTTTGGTTATGGTACGGGTTCAGAACCTGACCATTTCTTGGAGTTGAAGCTGCTGGATGAAATAATAAAAAAAAGTAAGAACTAAAAAAGGATATCAGATGGGAGACAAACAAAATAATCAGCTATGCAGACGACGCAATACGGTTTCGTCTAAGCTTTTAAACAGAGTAGATGTATTTTATAGCTGTGTATTGATGACAATATATTATATTTAGTATGTCTGTTAGAAAGTTGATTGATGATATGAGTGGAACAATTATGTATAGTCCTGGTGAGTCCATTCCAATTAAAGACAATTATAATAAGTTAATATTTCAAGTTCTAAGAAAAAAATTCTTTTCTGACATCGTGGACTGACTTCACTAACGAGGTCAAAATGTTTACTCAGTAGAAATACAGAAGTTAAAATATATAAAACTAAAAGTCCTAATATGGGCAGTAGAAATGCGGACAACGAAATAAAAAGGATAGGGAATTAGTAGAATGCTTTGAAGGAAAGTTATTAATTAGATTAATGATACTGAGTGTCATAACGAATACTTGGTATAAGTTACCACCCAGGAGGCTTTACACATGGAAGTCGCCTTTAGACGGACATCAGGGCATTATAAGGAACCAAATAGATTATGTGACAATTAATAGAAGGTACAGGAATGCTATTACTAAGGTATCTGCATTACCTGGAGCAGACATAGGATCCGACCACAATCCCTTAGTAGCAAATATCAAACTGAGGCTCGCTACAGCTAAAAGAAAACACCAGAAGGCATCAGTAAACATTAGCAAACTCAAAAACAATGAAACAAATGAAGCGTACACAGAGGAAATAAACAATAGGTTCTCTAATATGGCAACTGAGAATGATGTTGAAAAGTCATGGACCACCATAAAAGAATCATTTGATGAGTTGAACAACACTTTTCTACTCGAGAGTAAAACAACTACCAAGAATGAGTGGATGACAGAAGAAATATTAGAGATGATGGAACAACGCAGGCAGTGTAAGATCAGGCAGGACAAAGTAGGGTACCGAACTATACACAGTCAAATTCGTAAAGAAATTATAGCGGCGAAGGAGACCTGGATGACTACACTTTGCGCCGAGGCTGAAAGCCTATATAAACTCGGCGACAGCTTCAATCTTCACAAGAAAATTAAGGAAATTGCTGGTGTCTTCAAGAAAAAAACAAGTCACTGGTATACATAATGACCAAAATGAATTAATAACGGACCCTAGCGATATACTTAATACTTGGAAAATGTACACAGCCAATTTGTTCAATGATGACAGAACACAAAAACCACCACAACTGGGAGACCATTTGTATGGCCCAAGTATTTTGAAAGCTGAAATTGTACACGCTATCAAACTATTAAAAAGTAACAAAACCCCAGGACCAGATGATATGTACGCAGAAACAATCAAGTTACTTAATGAAGAAAACCTAGACATTATTGTCAAGCTCTTTAACGACATCTACGATACGGGCCAGATTCCAAAAGATTGGCTTCGATCTACATTTATCGCCCTACCAAAAACACCACCTGCGAACTTCTGCAAGGACCACCGACTAATAAGCCTAATAAGTCACTTTTTAAAACTTTTCCTGAGAATACTTCACACTAGATTGTTTAAGAAATGTGAAGAGGTCAGTGGATGGAGTCAGTTTGGTTTCAAAAATGGACTTGGCACGAGAGAAGCGATCTTTAGTATGCAAACATTGATACAGAATTGTTTAGATCAAAGAAAGGATGTTTTTATCTGTTTCATGGATTACGAGAAAGCATTCGATAATGTAAAACATGAATTGATGATAAAATACCTACAAGAGTTGGGATTGGATGCAAAGGATATAAGAATCATCGCCAATCTGTATTGGAATCAGACAGCAACAGTACGTCTTCAAAATTCCAACGAAACAGAAGATTTCTCCATTAAAAAAGGAGTAAGGCAAGGTTGTATACTGTCCCCAATGCTGTTCAATTTATACGTAGAAAAAGCCTTCGCAGAAACAGTGGAAGACTCTAATAAGGGTATTAAAGTTAACGGCATATTTATTAATAACATCAGGTATGCCGATGATACAGCCATAGTGGCAGATAACATCGAAGATCTGCAATGCCTTTTAAATGATCTAACTCTTGCAAGTGAAGCTCGGGGTTTGAAAATAAATATCAAGAAGACAAAATCAATGATTATAAGTAGAAATGATTACCCCAACGCAAAGATATATGTCTCTGGAGAAGAAATCGAACAAGTCAGGCAATTCAAATACTTGGGATGTTTGCTGAATGAGGGTTGGGACCCCGAGAATGAAATAAAGAGCAGAGTTGAACAAGCCAGAAATGCTTTTTTGAGGCTTCGTAAGTTTCTGACTGATCGCAAATTGGACTTCAACCTCCGATACAAGATGCTTAAGTGTTACGTGTGGCCTGTTCTCCTGTACGGAATGGAAGCATGGACGTTAAAGGCCAGTTCCATTAACAAACTTGAAGTATTTGAAATGTGGTGCCTGCGTCGAATGCTCAGAATATCACGAGGAGAACGATACACTTTTCAACAACTGATACTCGAAGGGAAGATAGAGGGTAGGAGAGGTCTCGGACGTAAAAAAATGTCATGGCTGCGCAATATTCGACAATGGACAGGAATCCACAGCTATGAAATGCTTCGCAATGCTGCTAAAAACAGAATTATTTAATCCAGAATATTTAACATCTCACCTGACAAGACGATGTACGGTGGACGCCTACGCAGAAATGCACGGCACCTTAAGAAGAAGAAGATACTGAGTGGGATAAACAATGATGAGTAGACAAGATTTACCTTTGAATTTTACCAAATATGTAATGAACGCTAACATTTTACATAACATCAAACTGAATCTAAGATGGTTAGGCCATGTAATGCAGTTAAAAGAAACAGTCCCAACCACAGTTCCGTCAGCTAGAGGAAAGAGAAAAAAAAGAAAGCGCAATAAATTATATCTAGATGACATCCAAGAAGACTTGAGAAACATAGTCATTGCCACGTGGAGACAACATGTTTTGAACAGAGAAGTCTGGAGGGAAGTTTTTGAGTAGCATATCTTCCACCATCGACTGTAAAATCTGAGTAGAAGGAAGAAGTATTTTTCTACTTTTCTCGGAAACTAAAAAAAAACTTCGGGTTTCATAATTTTCACCCAGATCACTTTTAATTTAGTTAATATTTTTTGGCTTCACTAATCTTCCGATGGAGAGAGATCGTACAAAACTAAAGGATTGATTTTTTTATTTTTATTTCGATTCAATAGGATATGATAGGTTATTAATAAAGAAAGAGAAAGGAATTGAGAAATAATCAATCGAGTAATAATAAAACAATAAAAATTGCTAAATGTTTGGTTACCTAATCTTAAATAAAGCTTCCATAACCCTTCAGGATAACTATGAGATTACAGCTTGAATGATAATGATTGCAAATCAGCAGAGCAAAAGCAAACATGCAATAAACATAGAGGCAAAAAAATAAATATGATTACAAAAGTGAAGTCACACTATGAGATTTATGAGACTTCTACTGTCTCATTTTTTTTTGGCTGTTGGGTGTTTAAGTGGCAGTTAGAGAACAGAATGATCTATATTGACTAATACATACCTATATTTATATAAGTGAAAGGCAATGTAAATGAAATAATTCAAATTATTTAATGTAGTTATTTAAACTTCAATATCAAGATCAATTAGAAAATAAAACCATTAATATTCGACAATTAGTTTTTGCACACAAAACCACAAAACAAAAACCAAATAGTATTTACCTTTCCTAACTGAGCCTGAGAATGAAGTTTTTGGCTTTTATTGTTCTGAAACTATAATATAAAGTTGTAAGTTGTAGTCATTTTGTGTTTTAAAATCCAATGTAAAAAAGAAGGCAGATTGAGGTAGTTTGATGACAATGCATTGAAAACTAATAAAAACGAATGAGTATAGCCGAATGAAGAGGACAAATTTGAAATGTAATTCATGATATTTCCGCTAGGAATGTATGAACCGATAGTTGTGCTAAAACTGTTATTACTGCATATAACAGAATAGTTTTTTGGACATACGAGGTCTGTCCCAAAACTTCCCGACCTTAGTTCATAACTTCACGCTACAACTTTCCAGTGCAATATGAGGGATACAAACGTAATCGGTAACTCTTCACGAACTTGCTGTATTTAGCAGTTACCAACGGGAAGTTTCAATTTTTTTACTTCTTCTTCTTAACGTGCCCTATCAAGTCCCCTTGACGTTGGCGATTAACATGGCGAAACTGTCTCTGTCTCGAGCTATTCTAAATAGTTGCTCAGCTTTCTTTATTTCTGTCCACTCCCTGATATTCTTAAACCAAGAGGCCTGCTTTCTACCAATTCCTCTGCGTCCTTCGATTTTACCCATCATAATAAGTTGAAGAATATTATATCGGTCTCCCCTTACTACGTGTCCAAAATAGGCCATCTTTCTACATTTGATGTTATCAAGCAGCTCGCGAGCAGCATTTGCTCTCTCAAGGACTGCCACATTTGTCAACATAGCCGTCCATGGAATTTCTAGTATAC